ATATACAACCGACATTCACACAGTTAACAAGATGTAATGTTTAATAATCACTATCTTTCATCTATAACAGACAAGCTCACAGTAAGCTCTGTTTAGCAAATGGAGTGCTTAAAAACACTGAAATAATAGGATAAACCTTACAAAAATACATCACATGAAAAGTCTTCAAATGAACACATAAATTATCATCATAAGCAATAATAAACTTTTGACACATTCTTCCAAAACTATAAAAGAAATAGAATAAGCAGGAGATTCAAGAAATGAGACCCAAAAGCTTACTACAACACAGAACTTTGTTATATATCATAATATCTACTACTGACTAGACAGAACCATGTAGTATATTGAACTAGAAAGCATGCACTGATGAACAAAAAAATGATAAAAGGAAAAGATGAACAAAAAAAATGATGAAGGGAAAAGGAAAGAAAAATGTATTACAAACAAAAAAGAAATACTATACTTCATAAATATAATGAAAAATTAAGCTGTATTTCTACTGAGAAAATAGACACTCTATCCATCTGAAAAATTATGTAAAACTTGTAATCTGCATTGCAAAAATCATAACAACACAAGGAGTAAAGATCAATTTAAGCTATGAAACATAGCAACATTTAACCCGAGTTATATGCAAAACATAATATACATGTAGTTAAAGTTTATGCATAGATGACAAAGAAACTAAACATTTTCCAAATAAAAAGACAAAGTCAATCTGTATTCCTGAGATCATGTCTCTGACTATAGCACTGTCAAAAATGTAAAACAACACATTCTTTAGTTAGTTTGTTTTTTATACATTTTTCTGGCACCTGTAACATGTCAAATTTTCTTCACTGTGCATTAAAAAAATAATGAGAATAACAATGTATTGTATATCATTACCATGTCATTATCATAATCAATATAATAATATCACTTATTGTACATATTTCATACATAAAATTAGCAGCCTTGTAACCCTTTTATCTATAATCTATCAAACTGCTGCCTTCTCCTGCCTTTTAAAAGCAAGAATATGGGCAAATGATTGTGCTAATGGAAATACCATCTGGCTCTTACTGCTAATAAATATAAATAACTGACATAAAGTCTCACAGCACATGCACGGACCGTCCAAAATTCCTTCATCAGTTATGATAGACGGCATCTGCAATCACAAGCTGTAGGACATCATGGGCCAAGTGAGCGTATTGTGGTCCCAGCATCTCTTCTACTTGGCTCACAGATTCACCAACGACACATCCCTCGTGTTCTTGGGCCGAGTCTAGATGGTGGTATGCTATTGGTAAGGATAAAAGTATAATTCATTATCTCCTTACTTTGGAGGCAGGGTCTGATTACAAAATGCACTTACATACATTATTACCATGAACTGGATATTAGTAAAGCAACAATTTATGCCTTTCAATTAAATATGGAGCCATATTAGTAACAGCTATTTACACTACAAACCTTTCATGAAAAGTTCCATTCCCAGCAAGTCCTCCAATCTAGCTCGTTTCTCCTCAATCCATCCATAAACACCACCTCCGCCAGATACAACAGCACCATCAGAATCTGTAGAAATAATAAATGATATGAAAGACCAAACATCAATGTTAGAAGGCAAGTTAAAACATTTTTAAAATTGGTAGAAATGCAAAAAAGACATCATGCTATAATTACTAATAGAAAAAGATATAAACTTAGTGAAGTAAAAAATTATTGAAGATTTTGCCTCAAATCAAAACATACTGTTAATATGACACCACTATTCATCATCTTTTTTAACTGAGTATTTCACCTTTATCAAATTACATCAAGTCATACCTAAATGCCAAACTTCTGAATGAGCTACAGACAATGTAGCTAATGGATTTCCCAGCTCTTTACTCTCTTCTCCTGCGGAAAGGATCAGCTCCATGGATTCGCGCAGGTTAGCCATATCCTCCATTTCTTCATCTGAAGTGTTGCATTCTAGGGTCTCCTCATTCTGGTGAGAGCACTGGCGGGCTAGTCTGTTTAACTCACTCCTGGCTTGGAAATCCTCCCCCCAACACCTACACTTGCAGACTTCTTTGCTTGTTCTTCTCGAACTTTTAAAGCTTGGCCTTCTTTCCTCACGAACATCTTTCGCAAAATTGAAGGACGAAAAGAGGGGAATGTCCGAGATATCTGGGATACTTCGGATGTTTGGCAGTGTTGATGGCCTTTTCCTAACAGAATGAGTAACTGGCTGTTTGTCTTCCTTTTCACTTACAGTTACTTCTTTCTCTTTCTTCTTGGGTGGTAAAACTTCCAATATTGTTGACTCCACTTCTTGAATCATTGCGTGTGAGATAACAACATTTGTATCAATAGCCTTTTGTTCTTTCTCTTCATTTTTCTGGATGGCTGTGTAAGCTGGCATTAGCTGAGTCCCCCCTTCCTTTGCTTCCTTCTCATTCCCATTACTTGTGTGTTTTGGACTTTCCTTCATTAATATTTCATGAACTTTATTCTTAATGGATGCCATCATAGCACTTTCATCTTTATCACTTAATGAATGAGAAATACTACTACTATCTTCTGTAATGAGTGTCCCTGTCTCTTTTGTTTGTGCAAGCCTTTGTCTCGCAATTTCAATAATATCATTTACTAATGAATGAGCTATACAAGCTGCACTCTGCTGAGACTCCTCATGAGTGTCACAGGTAACAGGCTTATCATTTTCATTATTTTTTGCATCGTCCTCCTCTCCTTTGCTCTCTGCTACCATTTCACATGTCTTCCGACCTTGAAGTTCATGATTATCAGTGTCCTTTGAGATATTTTGTCTTTCTTTGGAAGTTTCTGAGAGACCAGAGCACTGACTAAATTCACAGGAATCATTGAAGTTAAAAGGAGATGAGTCATTGCCAATATTATTGGCTGTTTGACAAGTGAAGCTCGTTTTCTGTGTATCTACCCCACTGTCAAAAGATACGTCACTGGGATTTGTAATAGGAAGAAAATCACTTGTACTCTCAAGAAGTTTCATCCCAGCATTAAGTTCATCCTTTGTTTCTAAGGCAGTACAGAAAAAAGCTTCAACATCCTTTGTTACCTCCTTCACATCGGAGTCAGTTTTTATGTCCTTCAGATACAGAGCCTTCATGTACTTGTTCTGTGTCCTTTCAACTGAGTCATGCCTTGGAGTGCTAAAGGTTTCCCTCTCTGGACTATCTGCAAATGTGGTGAAAAAGCTCTCATCACTATCAAGGGTTACATTCTTGGGGGTTAATAACTGCTCATCATTATCAGCATTTTCTTTGGTATCTTTATCATGATCTCCCTCAATCAACTCCTTTGCATTATCTGTAGTTGCAGTTGATGCCATGGATTCTTCTCTTTGTATCTGTTCTTTGCTTAGGTCCATTACAGTCCCAGGTTTATCTTCCTTCATTTCTTGCTGTTTTCCAATATCCTTGATTTCCGCCTTCTCCAGTTTTGAGTTCATTACAATTGTACTACCTAAGGCAACTTTACTTGGAGCTTTGAGGTCTTCATGCTTAGAGGAAAGCCTTCGCAAAATTCCCACAATGCCAGTCTTCAATTTCATAGTTTTACTTGAATTATCATCTACACTACCTTTGGTATTAGCAGGAACTGTTTTCCTCTCTAGATCTCCTTGGCTGCTACTTTCAGAAATGTTTGAATCACTTGAGGTGCGAGATGACAACCTCTTCCTTGGCTTGGGTGACATGTGAGAGCGCAGCATCCCTAAGAGTCCACCCCTCATCTTCTTGCCAGTACCTCCTTTTGACAGCACCATGGAAGGTTTGGCATTTACTTCTGTATCAACTGGCACTGTCACTTCATATTTTTCACTCTGTGACACAGGCAGTGGTTTTAACTTCTTCTCTAGTTCATATGTACCATCTTTATTTAATCCTTTATCTCCAACAGCTAGTTTGCAATCTAAGTTCTCGTTAATTTCACTATGATGATTAATAACTGACTTTGAAACAGGAGTACTTTCTAAAACATAAGTGCCACTTAATTTCTCCTTGTTTGTTTCAACAGCCTGAGGTGTCAGAGTAATATTTTTAGTGATAATTGCATCCACATCATCTGTAACCTTTCTTTTATCCTTTTCTACTGTAAATGTACTGTTTAAATTGTTATTCACATTTGCTGCAGTCTCCTCTTTCATGAACTGTGGAATCTCGTTTAACGCAGTCACTGTTTTTTCTGGTGTATCTCCAGCTTTACTTAATGCAGCATCCAAACACACAGTATAAGTAGAACCCATTACATTTGGCTTTTTGGATTCATTTTGTGCAATGTCATCAAAGTTAATTTTTTCTTTAACATTTGCACTTTCTTTTGTACTTGATACTACCGCCACATTCTTCTTTACTTTCTGACAAATGGGACTGTCAATAATCTGAGCTTCTGCAAGCACATTCACTATATCTTTGCAGCCCTTTTCCCACTGTTTACGTTCCGAGACTTTTGTAAACACCACAACCATGTCCTGTGAGGAAGTGCTTTCCATTTCAGAGCCGGTTGATTCTAAAGGAGAATTTTCAAGTCCAGCAGTCCTAATGCTGCCCCATCTTGCACGTCTGTTTGGTGTTCCATGCCCTGATTTGGGTGATGTGAGACCTGGTTGCTGAGAATCTGTCACTTTTTTAACACCTTGAAATTCGTCATCTGGCATAGTCTTTTTTATTTCTTCAGGCTGCAGTCTGGTTTTCGGCACTGTACTTTCATTTTCTACTCCTGTTGCAGGTTTATTCTCTATTGTTTCCTCCTTGGCAGTAGAAGCAACATCAACAGTCTTTTCATTCATGACTGTAACTTCAATGTCATCAAGAGAGATCTCCTTTTCTTTATCAAAGTCTGGTTCTACTTTTCTTTTAACAACTGTGTTTATTAGCTCTTCCTTAGATTTCTCATCTTGAGTATCTGTTTCTAGTGCATGCTTTTCTGGTGCTTCTTCTTCCTTTTCTCCATTGGACTCTTTATTATATGTATTTGCATCTGACTGATCCTTCTTTCTTTCATCATGGTCCTCTTGAGAGGTTTTTAGCTGTTCATTCAAGTCAAAGTCACTTCCACTTGATGGTCTATAACCATCAGCAGATGATAATGATTCAGGGTCTTCATTTTCACTCTTTAAAGACGATATCAACTTTTCCCTTTGATATGCCCACTGGCGACGCTCTCGAATCATTTTATTCATTTTCTGTGCTCTTGCCTGCACCAATTTCTGCATTTTTTCCTGCACAAGGCGTCTCACTTCCTCTGCTGGCACATCCAAAGCAAACTCTTCCTCATCCTCATCACTGCCATGCTCACTCTGTTGCTTGAGGGTTTTATTAGTTAGTTCTTTCACCTCCTTCTGAGTTTTTTCTTGTTTCTCTTCACCTGCTTTTATATATGCATCATTATCTTTGCAACTTGCTTCACAGGTCTGGTGGCTGTTGTCACTCCGAACACTAAACTTTTGTTTCACCTCTTTCTCAGTCAAGATTTTGCCATTCCTTATTTTCTTTAGTACTTCATCAACTTTGCTAGCAGCTGCTCCTTCAATGCTATCTGAGTCTGTATTATCCCCTGATAATGCAGTATTTGAGGACACAATATCTAATTTTCTATCTTCACTCTGTGGTTGTGGATGAGAAGATGCAGACATTTCAAAAGAATTTTGCAAACTCTGCCTTGAACTTTCATTAGGCCTTTCTCCTGACTTCAGAGTACCCATCTTTTCTACATTATTCTTAAATCCAGCACTGTTTAACATCAGCTTTAGCTTTAAAGGCGAAGGCTGTTTCTTTTTCTTAGAACACTGAACACTTGATTTTTGTATGCTTTGCTTGAAGACTCTGGGAACTGACTTGGATCTCTTCTGGACACTTTTCTGTTCAGGAGATTGCTTGCTGTCTTCACTGGGGCACTTCACTCTATGTCCTCTTTTCAAGTTGTCTACCCTCATATTGGAAGAGGCAGGGTATTTTCTAACTGCTCCTGAGACTCCTGGGGTATTTTTTCCTCCTGTCTTTGCTGGGGAAAAATTTGGTGCTCTCTTATTCACACTCATGCTACTTCCATACTTTGCTGATGGATCAGTAACATCTTTGGGGCGCTTGACAACTGGAACTCTGCGTACTGAAGCAGGCAGTGACATTTTCCGTTTCATCAGAGAAGCCATCAAATCCTCCTCTTCACATCCTGAGATGAAACGAGGCACTCTCTTGAGGATGAAATGTTTACGAAGAATAACTGAAATGGAAGGTCTGGCCTGTGGTTCTCTCTGGAAAATCTGTGTATGAAGCATGCGTAAATCACGGCTGTATCTGGGAGGGATTGGCTGGTAGACACCCTTTATAATCTTTAGGATAAGTGCCTTCATGTTACTGGCTTCAAAAGCATGTTTCAATGTTGTCATTTCATACAATACACAACCAAGAGCCCAGATATCACTTTTATTATTGTAGGGCTTGTTTTCACACATTTCAGGTGAAAGGTAATATGGAGTACCAATGCATGTCCTTGCCAGGTCTGATGTACTATTCATGACTTTTGCAATCCCAAAATCTCCAAGTCTCACTCTACCTTCATCTGTTAAAAATATGTTCTGTGACTTTATGTCACGGTGAAGTATTCTTCTGTCATGGATGTACTTAACAGCTAAACAGAGTTGCACAAACCAGTCAAGTATTCTGTCCTCTGGGAAAAGAACTCCATTGCGCTTGGTTATCAAAGTGTGCAGGTCTCCTCCGCCACAATAGTCCATCGCTATATATAATTTCCCATTAGCTTCTGAGGAATATCTAAACTGGGTTATGTAAATGTGGGACAAACTGGAGAGTACCTGAAATTAAAAGGGAGAAAATCATATTAATCTTAAATCAAAAGGATATTGTTTAATAGTGTTACCATATCCAGTTTAATAAAAAAAAAAATTACCCATGAATCTTAAGCCCTAGCTCAGACTGAAGGTGTGAGCTAGAGCTTTAATTGGCCAAAATTTGTACTATATAACATCTAATATATATAAGCTATTTCTGAAGTAAGCCACTGAACTTTTGATGATTTTTTTGCACATTCACATATCTTTATATCAAGAAATGAAACTGTTGTAAATGCTGATATATCAAATTATCTGGTTACTTTTGGTACAAGGACTTAGGATCTATATGCCAATGCCTGTCCAAAGAAGAGTACAAAGCAGATAATTCAAAAAGCAAAGAGGATTCTATATGAGATTAGATTTTGCACAGCAGAGAGCAGAAAAAAAAATCAAATGACATACCTCAACTTCACGCCTGGCTTCCAGGAGCTCCTTGGGTGTCATGTGAGATATCTTAATTTCTTTAACAACACATTTTGTTCCTGATGGGACATGCACCGCTAGATGAGCTGAGCCATAAGACCCTGAGCCCAGTTGGCGCAAAATCTTGTAATCATCCATTTTTCTTTTCAATTATGTGATATTAGGTTTAAATTTTCTTGATTCAGTGATGTAGAGGAAAACTAGTCATA